TGGGATTGGATGTTGGGTGCAGCTCTGAAGCATGTTTTGTTGATCCATGGAGACAGTGAACTGCTTGTCTTTCTAGACCTGTAACTTCCATACACTGCAAGATTGTTCTTGTTTGTGCAGAATTACAATATTACTGTAAGGCTGTGGCTGCACATTGCTATTCCAAAAGCATCTCTTTGGATTGAACATGCTGTCAGTGGAATATGTATCATGTAACCGTGGTCTTGGGCTGTATTAAGGAGGGAAGTTGAACTTGCTGCTGTGTACAGGTGGGGCTCAGGGCATCGATCTGGTGAAGAGCAGGTTTATATGTTAGAGAGCTGATTATAGGAAGCAGCTCTATGAAGTGTGCAGCTCGCAGCCCAAGAGCTTTGCAAAGACAACTGACTGTCAGTTTATGGAAGGGATGCGTCAGTTTCAAAGTGTGAAGCTTGCTTCCCTTTGTGTGAAAGCGACTCTCGAGATAATTCTCAAGGCTTTTCTGTGCTTGTTTAGAAAGAAGGAGCTTTGCCTCAGGATCTATAGTTTGAGGTACTTTGGTTAAAACATTTCATGTGGTAAAAATTTGATCTATAGTTATCTGTAATGGTCAAACATATCTAGATAACCAAAATGCTTCATTTGACGTATTTGTCCAAAGTTTTCTGTGAAATTCAAAATCATAGAATTATATCATAGGTTCATTATATCATGGTTTGAGTTGGAAAGGACCTCAAAGATCATCTAATTCCAACCCCCTGTCACGGGCAGGGACACCCTCGACTAGACCGTGTTGCCCAAAGCCCCATCCAACCTGGCCTTGAACACTTCCAGGGACAGGACATCCACAGCCTCTCTGGGCAACCTGTTCCAGTACCTCATCACCCTCATAGTGAGGAATTTCTTCCTTTAATCTAAATCTACCCTCTTCCAGCTTAAAGCCATTACCCCTTGTCCTGTCACTAAAAATCCAGTAGTTTAATTGAAGGTTAATGGACAGTTTCTTAACTGCGGCTGAAAGCCTGCTTTATAGAGCTGGTTTTGGAGATTGCTGTGATGAGGGTACTTCAGAAAAATGTAAAATTAGTGTTTTGAATCAGGATTTAATCTCTTTGCCTTTTAGTATGTGTTAGCACTTCCGTTAGAAAATTAGGAGGAATATTTTATTAGTAAAGAACAAATAATATTGCCTAAGTGGTTTTGAGTTCTGATTCTCTCTTTTTATTCCTAGTATTTGCACAAGCTTTTCAAGAGGGACCACCATAAAGGCCAGCGATATCATGAGAAACAGATCAGCCTTTATGCTGAATATGATCGTCCAAATTTACTGCCATTTCTCAGAGACAGCACGCACTGTCCACTAGAGAAGGTAAGCCCCCAACATATAAACACAGGTCCTTGATTTTTATGTCTGTAGCTTGCAGTGTTACAAATTTGTAACTGTGTCTGGTACTGCCCTCTACTGCCCAAAGGAGGAGATAAACCTTTGAGTTTGTGACCATCACCTTTAGAAATTCGGTTTGCCGAGCTGGCTGACAGCTGAGACCTTCCTCTCTCAGCTCACAGGGCAGGAATTGGTGGGGATTTTTAGTGCAGAAGTTCTGAATTCATAGTTGATGCTTACCTACAGCATATATATGCATCAGTGCCTGGCCTGACTGGACAGGAGGTTGTGGTTGCAGGAAATCAACAATCATTTTGCTAAATCCTAGGACTAGTCAGTGTTAGATCTTGGAAAATGAGTAGCTGTAACTGGAGTTTTTCTAGCTTTGTATTCTAAGATCCTAAGTTGCTTTCAAATAATATACATAATATAACAGTCACTGAACTAGCAGAGCTGAAAGTATTTTGTCTTTGTAGTTCTGCTAGTAGACTTGGGGTTTTACAGAGTACCACATTTCCACCTTCTTTAACCTTTTTACATTTTCCTTCTTTGCTCTTCCTTGTCAAATTAAAAAAATAAATAGATGAAGTTAAGGGCACTCTTGGGTTTTTTTTTCCCCTGCTTGAATTAAAGTGAATTGAATGGAAATTTAAGTTTCCCTCTTTAGTTGGGTCAGTATTTTATTACTTGTATTTGTCACTGTTAATGGCCAAACAGAGCAATCTTTGTGAAAGGATGCCTCTCTGTATGCAGCTATAATGATGACACCACAGGAGAAGTTTTAAATGTAATACTGAATGTTACATCTGTACTTTTATTTTTTCTTTTGGTGCAAATTAGTTTTAGTTAATGCAGATCCAGCCACCTATCTTCAGTGATGGGTGGTACAGAAAAGTGCTGTAAATGATGCAAGTGCATTGCTGGCACTGCTTTGATGAAGATATGGGCTGTGCGCAAGAATATGTCAGAGATTCCTGAACCTTTGGATGGTGTGGTGCAATAATCACGAAAGTGAGAGAAAAGGATGTTAGAAAAAGTGTCATTCTAACCTTATGTTAAAATGTTAATATGTTTCAGTAAGAAGCTAAGGAAGAGAGGAAAGATACCAACACTGTATAAAACTTAGCTGAATTTACTGTCACTGCTAATTCTGTAATTATACTTCTTACCATACATATCATACAGTAACATTTTGCCACATACAAATCTTTATTCTAAGGAAATAAAAAGGGGACCAATAATTTGCCAGTTGTTATTTTCAGTTCCTGTTTAGCAGATTCCAGTGCAGTATATACATTGCAAAAACCCCATGGTATTTGAACAAATTCACGCTTACTATTGCTTTAAAGAAATTATAAACCTGGCAGAAAGAAATAATTCTTGTTCTTTAAAAGTAAGCCACTTTTATTCAAGTGCAGTTTAGCAAATGTTTTATAAAATGAACTGAAAGAGAAGTATGAATGTTCCCTGTTTTCCTCTAGAGGGAGCATGACAGTCAATAAACACGCAGCATCCAGAAATACTGAATACCTAGTACTTTTAGTTTAGCTTCTAAGTGGAGAGAAAAGGCTGTCAGCTGTTTTTAGAACTTAGTATTCATATCTTCATTCCTCTGAATTATCTGGTTGGTAATTCACTTTACCCCTACCCTGAAATTCGTTGTCCATATTTCTAAACTTCATAGTAACCCATCTGAAATAGTTTGGGTATGGAAGGAAAAGTTAATTCCTATCTACATCTTTAGCTGTAGCTGTATCTTAGGCATTTACAGTTTTGATTTCCAAGTATGAAAGTCTTTACTGGTGAACAGTTGTCTTCACAGGAATGACGCGAATCTTGCGTTTGCTTTCTGCTTCCGAACTGGAAACAGACATGGCATTGTTTATGGCATACCAGTCCTGCCGGTTTTCTGTTACTAAAAACTTCTTGGTAATCAGTTTGGTAATATTGGTAGTTGTCCTCAGTGTTTGTCAGCTACACACAGATTCAGTAACTGCTCATGGTATTTAGCCCTCAGGTCTTTAAACCAAATTTACAAGCAATGCTTCCTCCTTATTCTTTCATACTTGGGTTGGTTTATTTTTGTATTGTCTTCTTGGAGGTTACTAGTAGAAAATTTAGAGGGCACTCTCTGTCTCTCAAAACCATTCTGGTTACCCTGAGGAGATCTACAGGCTTGTATTGTGAATGAATAGTAGACCTCCATCACTAGAGACTTCATAAGTCTACCCACAGGAAGCAAGTCTTGACAGCACAGAACCTTGATGCTTTTGGATTAACCAACTTTTGGAAGAAGAAAGAAGTTGCCAGTAGATTTAAAGGTAGAGATTGACACAATCCAGACTGAAATATCTGTCATGTCCCCAGATTTATTTAATCTTGTAGAAAAACAAAAAAATAAAATGCCATTGAGTTTCTCCTCTTAATTAATGCCAGAGGACCTGACAGTGCATATTAAGGGAGCTGTATTCCTGTCAAAATGAGTAATGCAACTTCATGGAAAAGTATCTTTAAGCCTCTTGCAGCATTTGTGATCAATAAACTATCATGTTACATGGTTCCCTGTATTCTCTTTCAAAAAAAATCCCTTCCCTTAAATTCAAGGCTCTTGAGATCTGCCAACAGAGGAACTTTGTAGAAGAGACAGTCTATCTTCTGAGTAAGTAACACTCAGTGTGATAAATTACAACATGCTTTTAATCTTGTCAAAGCTTATGCTGCGAAAATGTATGATGTATTGTCTAATATCGTTTAACATGCTTTCCCAGAGACAAAGTTGGTATACAGTCAGTAGGACCAAATAACATGATTTAGAAAATAAAACAAAGCACTGAATTATTCATATGAAATCTTAACTCCATATATTGTGTTTCTGCGTTTCTGATTTGGTGTTTTTCTGGGATTTTGGAGGTGTTGGGGGGCTATGGGGAGCAGGATGGGGGGGTAGTATCTCCAAGAGAAGAGTAATGCTGTCAGTTTGAAGAGAGGGGAGAAACAAAACAAATGTTTTATTCTGAATACGTCTCAGAAGCTTTATTTTCATTTTTTCCCTTTTTTTTTTTTTTAAATAAAATTAATTGTAAATTAACTCCCCCAGCAGGCCAAGGAACCTACCTCTGAATGAGAGGCATTGTAAGATTAAGATTTTTATGTATGTTTACGTATTAGTCATGAACAGAATGGAAAGCATTTCTTTAATCAGTCTGTTTTAGTAAGAATGTTTTGTGAATGCTTGAGAGCAAAGTAGGATTCACTCGTGGATTTATTTAAAGAATAGTTCAGCATTTCTACTACTTCTTCCTCTTCCTTCCTCTCATTTTCCATGGGTGTAAGCTGCACTATACCTACTGCAAGTTAAGAGTGTCCATGAGGGCTCTTAAAAGGGAGTATTTCATGTCACAGTTTACATGCACATACTCCCCCTTATGTTAGATGTTGCTGCAGTTCAGAGCCCCTAATATGACGAAACGCATCCTTAAGAAAGGTTCCAGGTCCCAGTCCAGGAAAGTGCTCCGAGCACTTGTTCATATTATACTGATTGCTCTGGGATTTGTAGTCCTACATCAGATTAGATTAGATCTGGTCTTGGTTGAAATAGTCTAAGACAACTTCACACTTATAAAATTCATATCAAAAGAGCTTCTTAAAGCGCTGAGTATTGATAAGCATTTAGGATTTATAATCTCTTTACTTATTTTTTCCTTCTAGGCAGAATGGGTAATAGCCGGAGTGCCTTGAAGATGATAATGGAAGAATTGCAAGATGTAGATAAAGCTATTGAATTTGCCAAGGAACAAGATGATGGAGAACTTTGGGAAGACCTCATTTTATATTCTATCGATAAACCACGTAAGTGGGATAGTTTCTAAGAAGCCTTGCATGTGTATTTTTTTTTTTGTGGTGGAATGCTATTGTAGTTAAAGGATTAAATTATCCACGTGCATGTTAGCAAAGGTGTTTATGGATGGCCAGGGAGGAGTTCTGGTTTGTGGAGCACAACATAGCTGTCCTACTGTGCGTAAAAATGCCCAGTAAGGCAGCATGTGGGCATGCTACAGAATGAGTACTTAGGGATTTAACGTTTGACTAAGCTCTGCATAGTTATGCCCTTAATGACAAATTAAGGGGAAGATGGCACTTTTAATTTGGCAGAATGAGGCTTTATTTTTAGACAACCTCAAAACACAGTCTGCAGGTTTGATGAGAATGTTGTATAGTATGTTTATTGCAGCTACTTCCCTTTGAAATTCGGAAAATGAAGATCCTACACCTTTCTACCCCTCAGTAGAATAACTAATTTTGTTTTGTTTCTCTGGCACAAAGGTAAGATCTGTAATAATGCGTACATTTTGCCTTTCATCCATTATATGAATAGCTACTCAGGTTTAAAGTTTAGATGGAATCAGAAACTGACAGAATCTCATAAGCAACATCAGTTTTGTTCAGGAGGCAGATTCAGAGGAGTCAATATGACTGAGAAAATAGAGAATTATTTTAACTATCTACTCCATTAGTTTTGCAACCTCTTCTGGGGCTTTAATCAAGGCTTTAAAGTCTCTCCTGGGATCCCTTTTCTGAAGGATTGAATGTCTTGTAGAATTAGTGTCAGCATATATCTTTTCATCCCTTGGCCGCTAATTCTGACAGGAAGAAGCAAACAAAATCTTAGAAGAATGGTGTTCTCAAGTTACCCATACTTAAATGCAGTCCATCACTGAAAGTGATGCTACAATTAGTGACATCTTTAGAGCAAAAGGGATTCAAAGCATATAAAATTCTCTCAGTTCCATCTACCCATATGCAGAGCAACTCCAGTGATATTCCTCAGTTTTGGGGGTTGAAGAAAAAACACAGCCTTGAGGTCCATCCTTCTAGTGTTTCCTTTAGCGAAGTGCACTTCAAAAAGCAACAGACGACTTTTGCGTCACTCTCACCAATGTTTAGAAACACATTGGAGTTAGGTTAAGTGCTTGAAAATGTGTATTTAAACCCTGGAACTGGGGATGGAGTAGTCACAATGCAGTTAATTTTCTGGCTCTGTTTGTTTGAGTGCCCTTTTTGTTGAATTGAAATGCAGTATTTACTTGTAGGTTTGTGCTGGGTACTCTGTTACCCCTTTTCTGAATACCCTAGAAGTTCTATGAATTGCCAGACTATATCTTCCTCTCTTACCCAAAGGCCTATATTCAAGCAAATACAGCTGCAAGAAACATATGAAAGCTATAGAAAAGAGGCTTAGTGTTATCTCTCAGTAGAGAACTGTCCTGGAATCAGCCAGAGATTGTCACCTGTAGCTTGTCGCGAAAGCAACCTGTAATCGGGTATTTTGCTGAATTTTTTTCTTAATTTCATTGCCTCTTGGTTTTCACAGCTTTTATTACTGGTTTGTTGAACAACATTGGAACCCACGTTGATCCCATTCTTTTGATCCACCGCATCAAGGAAGGCATGGAGATTCCTAATTTGAGAGACTCACTAGTGAAAATTCTTCAGGACTACAACTTGCAGGTAAACGCTACATTCTTCCTGTGATACTCATTTTCAGAAAGACAGCAAACCCACTTTGCCACTGAACAGCACGAGAAATGGCTGTTGTGAAGGTTTGTTCATTTTGTTCAGACATCTGTCATTGTCACTGCTAATTGGTACAAAGCTATGACAGAAAGGGTAGAAATTTGTTGAGACGAATAGTCTCTTCTCTTGATGGCTTCTAGCACTTCTAAATCTCTCCCATGCTGTCATAAGCCTGGTGGGCAAGTAGAACTGGAAAGGTCTTGGTGATTCAGACTATTTTATACTGCCCAACTGTCCAATATTGGAAAGTCTCATGACTAGTACTTTTCATTCTGTTTCATCTATGAGAAGGCATAACACCACATGCACTCACTAAAACATTCACCAGGTTAAGAGCTGTATGTTAAGTGTCATACTACCTACAAGATGATGAACTTTTAAAATCAAATTCTGTTGTCTGTTGTGCAGAATGTGTTGATGTCTATGCATTTAAAAAAAAAAAATAAAAAAAGACTGCTCGTTGGATCATGGGAGTTCTTAGTGTAATTATACAGATATGTGCAGTTCCCTACATGACTGGTTTTGCTGTGTGTTTGTAAGAACTTAAAGGACACGTAGCCTTAAATGTTCCTGAAAGTCACAACAGAGAGAGTTGCATTGCATACTTTAAATCTCCCAGCTGCGAAAGGAGGCCCAAACTTGAGTTCTCTGTAACACTGCTCTGCACACTTCTACTGAGAGACATAAGGATATAGAGCAGTTTGAATGCTCCAGGTGTGACTATGCAGAGTATGAGAAAACATAGCCCAGTTAGCAGCTGAAACTCCAGTTTTCTGAACCTCATAAACATTTGTTTCCCATCTGCTGTTAGTCTTTGAACATCTCTAGCAAATAGAGAGTTGTGATGGTTTTCAGTAAAAGTCACAACTGGTCTCTTACCAGACCAAATCAAGACTACACTTGCGAGAGCCTTCACTGATGTCAGAAGTCCTTTTAAAAAGGCAAGTTCTAAGCCTTTCCAAAGTTCTTCCTTTGTTTTACTATCACATGTGCTTTAGATTATGGCTTTCATTATTTCAAAAAAGCATGTTAAGTGTCTTGTTCTCCTGCACACCCATTATGTGCAAGGAGTTACCCCAGATAAACAGATACATGTTTGCGTATAATGTATGTTGCAGCATTACTTCCAGTTTTTAATTGATTTCCTTAGATATTACTATCCTTCCAAAATAATGCTAGATAAATGCATGCTGTATTTAAACAGTTGCATGTTAATCTTGCCACTGTCAGTACCCTGCTGCTTTCACTGCCGATCCTCCTGTTTCTGCATTCTCTTGAAATCAAAATGGAATTTTTGGTCTCAGGCGGACTGAGAAAGTGCTGTGTGCATAGCTGCAGCTTTACACTTATGCAAAGTATATTGCATGGCTTCAGACAAAGCTGATGACGTTGTTTGGTCACGTTCTAGGGAGGGAAGAATAATTTTGTCTTCAAATACCTTTTAACAAAATTACTTTGGGATTAAAAGGATGTATTTAACCTTCAGAATAATATCTAAAATTATTTGCTGTTAGCATTGAAATGCTTCATGGATTTCAAATTAATTAATTTTGAAGTAGATTTGGATAGCTCTAGGGCTAAAATTTAGCTCTCGTAGGAATAATAGAAATTAGGGAAGTTTAATGTAATTTGTGCTTGGCTTGTTTGTACGATAGCGTAACAATATAGCAAAAAACCCTAGGGGGACTATTTTTCTTTAGAGAAATATAAGCTATAGGTTAAAATAAGACTGTTCCTGGAGTGTTACAGGCAATGTAAATTGCACTGTTTATGGACAGATGGTGTGTCTACATTGAAATTTATAGATGTTATCACAGCTCTTGCACACTTAGATTGGCAAGTAGATTAAGTAGACTTGGATTGGCGAGCTCAATTTTTTTATAGCGGGATGGTTTCTGCATTCAGCATGTGCTTCAGGGTATGGCTGAGATTTCAAGTAAATGTCTATCTAAGCGGCTTCTCATTGCTGAGGGCAATTCTGCCCTAGCTTCATCATTGCTGCTGCCTCATTAGCTGTTCTACAGCTAGCCTTTGGTGTGTTTGTATGATGCCTGATCACACCTTTGCATCAGGTTGTGTACGTTTATGGTGAGAAGTCCATGTCCTCTATTCTGGCCTGGCACAACTCCTTGGATTTTGGTTAAAGCTACCTGATTTGTATCACATAACATACCAGATGTTTTGAACTCCTACAGCAATCCAAATTACACTGGCTAGGAGTTTCTGTAATGTCATCTCTGCAGATCTCGAGCTCTGTATGCACGTAAGTTTTATTGTTCCCATTTTCAAAGGCAAAAAAGAAAATCTTGTGCCAAGATCCACAAAGGAGGTGCACAGGTGAAGTTAGAACCTGTTGATTGGCTTGCACGTCACTGCCTAAACCCAAAAAGGTGCTGATCTTTTCATAACATTGGCTCCCCAAAAGGTATTACAGCTGTGTTGTATTTAATGGTGGCCTCCTTTTGCAAGCCCTAATAAGATTGTTTTATACTTATGTAAGTATGCAGATGCAACTTCCCTATTATGCTCCTAAATTTCCTTAGCAGTAAACTTTACATTAGATGTGATTTGAAATATGGGTAGGAGCTAAAAGCAGTGCCTTTGGCAGACTTTGTCTTTTTTAAAACAATTCTTTACATTCCAGCAAAACCAAGTGAATCAAATTGGGTGGCTGCCAAAGCATGCCGTATGTGGCTTACAGTGTGCATTGGAGAATCCAACACAGAAGTCTACTAATGCAACAAAATTTATTGTATTTTTTTTTAATCTGGGATCTTCCCTGAATAATTTAAGTTTTCATTAATGTTGGCATATTGCAGATGGACTGCTTCAGTTTAACAAATTACCACCCATTAGATGAACTGCTGCAACTGTTGTATGTGCTAGTCTAAGATCACCTCGGCTCTAAAGTGATGTGGTTAGCTAATATCTGTTAGTTAATATCTAATATCTAGCTACTAACCAACCAATCATGGCACTAAGATAGGATTAGGTATTCTGTTGGGTAAAAATAAAATATAGATCACATAAGACTTTGTTCTTAGGCTACAATTTAAGTACTTCTAATTTACATTTGCTCTGACATTACAGCTCTGCTTTACAAGTAGGGATCTATTAAGCTGCCTTATTATTCTTCAAGAATACCCATTTTTATTTTCCAACTTCAGGAAGTGCTATTCCTCCATGAACTTAAACCTGCGCGCACACTTAAGTATTTTCCAAAACAGGAAAAGATTTAAGTACTCGTTTAAGTGGTTTTCTGAATAGGGATTAAAACTCCAAGTGATTATTTTTGTTTGTTCCCTCTTGTGGATCATTTATTATAATCTTTTCTCTTTGTCATCGCCTGACTTAGTATATTAAAACCATAGTAGATAGTTGAATGACACTGATTTATTGTAGTGATGAAAGTTTATTTACTGCTGAAATAATACTGATTTTAGTGTTTATATACAGTAACATTCATAGACCACAAAGTTATGAAGACATAGACAACAAAGACAAAGTTATAGCTGTCTGAACTTTAACAGGAGTATTTATCAAGTAAAGTGTAGTCTAAAACTTTTTTATTATATTTTATATCTAACTCCTGAAATCTAGTTTCTTGGTGCCATAAATTTATAGATAAAATAGACCACAGACTACTTGCTTTGAATTTATAAACTCCTGAAGGTGTGTGGTCTTAAGGAGAAACCTGGTTATTTATTAATAATGACACATTCCTAGCGCATTTTTTATTTAAAGGCAAATAAATCACCATTCTTCAGTCAACAGTCTCAACGTTAACTAAATACCATTCAAATCTATGGCAAGCTAACCAAATTGAGACAAGTCATATTGATACCCTGACAAAAGTTTAACAGTTTTCATCTTTACTGCTTGCATCTAAAAGTGTTTTCAAAGACACAGAATCAAAACTGAACTTTATCTCCATATAATTGAAAAGTTGTTGTCAGTGTAACTTTAAATTCAGTTTCCACACATAGACATTGTTTCTCTGAGCCTCATACAGAACCTCTGTTCCCATTAGGAACTTACCAGTGCAATTATTTTTAAAAACTCCCTTAGCCAACATGATTAGGTCACGAATGCTCTTATTTGAAAATTGTAGCAAAATCAGCATTTACTAGTATTGTTATGCAAAATATAAATTCAAACTATTATTTTTTCAGTGAAACCAGCGCTACTGATGTTTTTATGTGACTTCTTTGGGCTGAAACTCAACAGTCGTACAACGGTTTGATTTTAACAAAGACCTTCTTTCTCGAATGAACCTTTGAACTTTGTGTTTGCCTTTTATATTCAGTTCTCTGGAAATTAAATTGAAAAAGAATATGAAATGGTTCACACGCATTTAAGTTACATGTGATTATGCAGTGGTCTAAACTTTTGAATGAGGAATGCAGGAGCCTTTCTTAAAATAAGTCATTCAATCATGCTCCAGGTTTCAGAAGCATTGTATCACACGTCTCACAGAGAATGCTGATAGAAAAATCCCCTTATTTGTGCACGTGTGAGTTAGTTATAAACCTGTTACACTTTCCAAATATAGAAAATACGTTTCTTTTCAGCTTCAGTCTATACCTGAGTGAAATTTAGGAAATGCTTGTGGTATTGGAAGAGATTTAAATGCTTCCCTTGTTTCAGAAAGAAATGCCTAATTTCTCACCCTTTGTATGACAATTGTTAGAAGAAAACTTCAAAAGATGCTGGTATTCTAAGACCTGTTTTCCCTAGTTTTAAAATATAAAAGCAATTAGTTTAGATGCAGTACCTCTAGATTTTGTGGATTAGCCATTTTACTCAAATGTTGACTTACTAGTTTTCATTTTGATTGAACCCGCAGTAACTCTGATGGATAACAGGGATTCATCCATTCATAGAATTCACATCTATCCATTCATAACAGAGGTTATGAACTGATAGACCCTGACGATAAGCTGATAAATGCTGCTTGAAACAGCACCTGGAAAAATTGTTGGGTTTTGCTCCTGAACACGAATAAGCTGCTGTTCAGACACCTTGGAGGCACTAGGGGGCAGGTGGCAGCTTGCACAGAGGGACGTCTGCCTTTTGGTTGTAAAGACGAAAAATAATGTGCTTTTAATTGCTTTTGTGATGCCGTTTGGAAGAATTTGGTTAATTGGCCTTGAGAAACTTGGACTTTGAGCGCTAAGCTGAATCAAGGCCTGAATTTATTCTCAGAGCATTGAGTATACCCTTTCAAATTAACTGCATGCTGCAGTGTTTTCCTTTAAAGATAATGGGAGGCATTTGTAAATCAGGACTTTTTAAATTAAATAGAAGCTTTTATGGCATCTGATTTTAATTATGCAGTAGCATCTTCCCTAATATAGTTGGAAAATGAACTAGGATTTTTTGTTTGCAATAAACATTTTGGTTTCAACAGTTTTCATTAATTTGGTAAAAAGCATTATATCTGCCTAAAACTTCTTTCTGTAGGTGAACCATGCTGTCCTGCTTGTGCTTGCAATCATGTGCTTTCAAAGGGTAAAAAAAAGTTGTTTCATCCCCTGAGTCCTATTTCTTCTCCTCAGCAAGAGGTTTCATTACAGATTTATGCCTGATGTCAGTTTTAACTAGTTTAGCCTAATCTTAAGGTACAAAGTTATATACTTCTCCCTCCTTTTAACGGAAAGAAGTTAATTCAAACATTTCTTTCTCCCTCTGTCTCACCTCCAAATTCCCTCTCCTGCTTCTCTTTCTATAACTCTTAAATTATCCATCTCATCTTTGAGCTCTTCAAATCTGTTTCTGCAGAAGTGTTGAGATTTATTACCTTGAGATTTGACATTTTACATTCTTCATTGTGACTTTTATATAATAGCTGCCTACTGTATTCCATTTCTAGCAAAATAAGGTCTGACAAACAGTCATTGTGGTATGGAAAAATCTTAGTGGAGTTCAAATAACGGGGGAAAGATAGTGCATGTGTCTTATAAGATATGTCTTAAGGTATTTCTGTTACTTCTGTTTTTTAAGGCATCAAACAGTATAGAGATTTTTCCAGTGACTTAATGATGTCTACTGTTCTCCTCTTAATTTTTCTTTTTTTAAATGAACTTTTTCTATTGGCACACTATTTTAAGTAGAAAATAGTAAATCTTTGTATGGCTGTTCCGCCTCTCTCATTTAACATGCATGCTTTGCTCCTTTTACTTAAACGTGGGATTTTTCTTCTCCTTATGCTGAGTGCAGCTAGCAAGACTCCAGTATATAGCCAAGACCTCATCCATTCCAAGTTATTTACCGATCTTTGGGATGTAATTTGCTGATTGAGAATATTTTGAATCAGGCAAACACTCATTCTGAAATGTAGTCGCATTCAATTGTCCTTGCACAAAGTTTCTAGTATTTTTTTCAAACCTAGTGACATTTTTCAAGATGTAAAACAGAATTTACCAATCTCTGGTGCCCTTGGATAAAGTTGGAAGGTGAAAGACATACTCAGTTCCTGAGATTATTACAGATAGAAATGATTAATTCTCTAAGTGTTTGTCTTGTAAAGCTACATTCAGTTTCTAGTGCTCAGAAGTGTTTTCTGGCTCAGCATGTCTCATACTGAAGAATGCAATTTACCCACTGACATGTCCAGTTTGAAATGCTTAAAGCGTTACTTAATTTTAATTTTTGTAATGGATTTCAGATTTGCAGTCTTAACTGCATATCATTCTTGGCTGTGCATCCTTATTACTTCTCAATATGTATGTGAGAAGATAAGGCTTTGGACAGTGTTCACCTGGCTGTAAAATCGATTGTTATACTACTTTTAAGGTGTTTGCATTAGCTGTATCTTGGACTATTTTAGAACGCTCAATGTCTCCTGTAACGCAAATAAGCAGGAGAAAGGAATGGACATCGCCTTTGTATACCGCATTTTTTTGGTAGAGTTGTTCAGCTTAAAATTGACTGTGAGCCTCTTGAAAGCACAGTTCAGAGGAATTGTTGTCTTGGAAAACAAATTTCCAAGCACCAACTCAGGATGAAGAAAAAAAATTCCAGAAGACTTGAGTTTGTCGTATTTTCATACTTGCTTCATTAAGCATTGTGAAATAAGGCTCTGTATAATTTTGATGCCCTTCATTCCTTTTTGTGTTTCACAACATTGGCAGGCAATGACATGTCAATCTAATGAAAAATATTAAATAAATAGAAAGGAGGCTGAGACGTTTGTTAAGGAGGGACAAACTCTGGACCTTTGGTTAGTTGAATGGCCATTTAATACTGCTTATTAAATGACACCTCAGCAGGACATATGTCTGC